TTAATTTATAAATTAATTTTATTAATTAATTATTATAATTATTAATTCTTTTCAACAATTAAATAAATATGTATGTAACCTTAACTAATAAAAGAGTTTATCTAATTTATCCTTAAGAGCACAAGTTAATGATGTAGTAAATATATCTTTTTATAATTAATTCACATAAAAAAATTATAAAAATTGACATATATTTTAACATCACTGACAAGTAGATTATTTTAATTAGTTAATTAATTAAATCAAAATTAACACTTATATTTTTAATAAATGTGGCAGATATTACTACCAACTTTTTATATATTTTTGTTTAAAATTCGAAAATGTGTCCTTGTGGAGATTGTTAGGATTCAAAGGAACTTCTTTTGGGGTGGGTTTGGTGATGAGAGGAAAATTAATTGGATAGGTTGGGAGTCTATTTGGTGGGCAAAAGATAAGGGTGGGTTAGGATTGGCTGATGTGGGACTGTGGAATGGGGCTTTGTTAGGTAAGTGGTGGAAAAGGTTAGGAGATGGGAAAGTGGGGCTATGGAAGAGGGTAATTTGGGAGAAGTAGGATGAGGGTAAGAAGGTGGCAGATATTACTTCTTTTACATCTTTAAATTTGTCTCGACTGTTGAGTGATATTATTAGTATTGGGAAGGGGTCTGCCCAGTTAGATTTTATGCTAGTTCAAGGGTTTAAGTGCTATATAGGAGATAGGGATTTGGTGAGGTTTTGGAAGGATAAATGGGTGGATGATAAACCCTTGAGTCATTTATTTGTTTGGCTGTTTGTTCTTACTTGTTTAAAGGATGGGTCGGTGAAGGGTATGGGTTATTGGGATGGGGATGTTTGGCGATGGAAGATGGAGTGGAGGAGAGCTTGTATGGGTAGGGAAGTGGGTGAGGAAGAGCGATTTTTGTTAGCACTTAGTAGGGCAAGGTTAACAAAAGTAGGAATGGATATATGTAAGTGGGTGCATGATAGTAATGGAGATTATACTATGAAAATTGCATATAATTTTTTTATCACCTATTGATGTTGTGCTTGAGAAGAAATGGTGTAAGGTGATTTGGGGTAGGTATATTTGGGGGGTTGGGCGGGGGGAGTTGTGTGGATAGGAGGTGGTTGGACTTATATTTTTGGTGGTAAGTTGGTATATTTGGTGCTAGAGAAACTCAAAGGTATTTGGGATTGAATTGTGTTCTAGAGAAAATATGTTGGGATCTATTCAAACTAAAACCTTTTTATGGATTAAAGGTGTGGAAGCTGGATGTGCATTCTCCTTTTCTAATTGGACTCAAAGGCTGGTGGATTGTGTAAGAAAGTGTCAGGTTCAGAAGAAATAAGAAGGTTTTCAAAGTGTAGCAAAGTTGATCGGTTTTATTTGCAGGATGGACCTTTGTTTTGTTATGTATTTTATCCAAACTAATATGCACAAAATGTAATGGTTTCTATTGACTAGAAGTATTTCTTATACTCCTAAGTAATAAAATTCAGTTTTGTTTTGCTGATAAAAAAAAAAATACAAAACAAAACAAAGGGAAAAAATTAATCACCGTTTTGTAAAAAAAAAAAACAAATCTTGTTACAATCAAGCCATAGGTCCCGATTGTTTCTTCTCTTTTTTTTTTTTTAATTTTACACGATTAATTTTGTAACTCAACACATCACCACACACTCAAGTAAGAAAAACATCAATATGAAAAAAAAAAAAGAAAAAAAGAAAAAAGAGGTTACCTAAATGGAAAAATAAATCACACAAATCTGGTAAATGGCTTTCTTCCAACTGTGGCAAGCATAGAAACGGTTGAATCCACATTCAAATTGCCTATAGATTGAAAAATCCCTAACAACATATATTAGAAAAATCCTTTTATTATATTCTTAACCAAATCCTTTCATATTTTAAAATTTTGATCTCTATTTATGAAGCTGCTATTTTATCTTGCATTTACTATCATTGACGAAAGTTAGATTGCACAGTATCAATAGTTATAATATTTGTAACCCACACCTTCTGTCTTTTCATACTATTCTATTTTCATTATTGAACTTGCACTACTAAAATTTTGATTTTTAGCAACAAATATCAACAACATGGGATCCTTTGTTGCTGAAAAATTGTATCACCAACAAGGTTTTAGTTGCTAAAAGCTATGTAGTAGATTTCTCCCTTCCAAAAGTTGTTTTACTTTCAGCAACAAGGGGTATGTTGCTGAAAGTAAATATCAGCAACAAACCGTATGTTGCTGATATTTTTCGGTAGTTCTACACCGGATTTTTCCCCCCAAATAAGGGTTCCATTTTTAGCAACATGTCTCTTGTTGCTGAAAGTGAATTTCAATAACAAAAACTATGTTGCTAAAAATTTTAATCATTTAAAATTTAATCATTTGATAATGTGGCGGGAATTTTTTTATTTTAAATTTTAATAATTTAATACACGTCGGTGATGAGTAAAGGAATTTAAATTCAAATGAGTTTTAGCAACATAATATAGGTTGCTAATAGAGGGGTAGACTTTAAGCAAGAAAGGGTAAGTTGCTGAAAGTTATTTATATACCCCAATATTTCTCCTCCCGCATGCCTTCCTTCTCCTCACTCACATGCCTTCCTTCTCCTCACATGGCTTCCTTCTCCTCGCATGGCCTGCTGCAAATCCTCCGGCCTGCTGCATTAATTTCCTCCGGCTTGCTGCAATTCCTTTGGCCTGCTGCAACATCCTGCTGCGCCTCACAGCTTCTTTTTTTTTTT